CGGGGAGAGAGAGAGAGAGACACGCAAACCCCAAATATACAGCAGCAAGTGTCAGGGTCGGGATTGAACCCACGACCTCCTGTAGACCAGGCGAGGTAGTCAACATCTCACCACGGGGAGAGAGAGAGAGAGACACGCAAACCCCAAATATACAGCAGCAGGTGTCAGGGTCGGGATTGAACCCACGACCTCCTGTAGACCAGGCGAGGTAGTCAACATCTCACCACGGGGAGAGAGAGAGAGACACGCAAACCCCAAATATACAGCAGCAGGCGTCAGGGTCGGGATTGAACTCACGACCTCCTGTATACCAGGCGAGGTAGTTAACATCTCACCACCGTGGCACCCCCTTAGTAGTGGGTGGATGCCAACTCCGGGACTGCCCTGGTCAAATCCGGGACAGGTGGCAACCGTACCTCCACGTGGAGGAACAATCACCGTTGTTGTTATTGACACCATCAGCATCATCATCATCGGCCAGTCTTTATCCACTGCTGCATGAATCATCCATCGCGGTCACGTGACAGCACAATCAAACCCAGGCAGGTGGCAACCCTGCCCCAACAAGTACAAAGACAAAGATCGCCCGTATAGCCTGAGCAGACTGTCAGGGGCAAGTGCTGTTACAAAACAAAGCCAAAGAGGAGCGGTGGCGCAGCGGTCAGGGCTACGCTGCGCTGCCGACCCCGGGACCCGGGTTCGATTCCCGGCCACGGCCACCAACACCGGTGACGATTATTTGAACCGATCCTGGACCTCCCCTAGGTCGACTCGGCATGACATGTCTACCCGGTGCCCTACATACATACACACGCACGTAAGCAAACACACACCCTGTGAGTCGACCCCACCCTGAGGGACCCCACCTTATACATTAACTGGGCGTGTTGATAGACAGGCCCCACCAGACAAACCTGACTCAACGATCCCTTGAAAGGTTCAATTGAATGAGCGTTTTAATTTGAAGACGAGAGAAAACGCACACACACATATTGTGTTCCATTTCACTACGTCATCTGTCTCCTGTATGTATCTCTCATCTCACTACGTCATCTGTCTCCTGTATGTATCTCTCACCTCACTACATCATCTGTCTCCTGTCAGTATCTCCCACCTCACTACGTCATCTGTCTCCTGTCTGTATCTCTCACCTCACTACGTCATCTGTCTCCTGTCTGTATCTCTCGTCTCACTACGTCATTTGTCTCCTGTCTGTATCTCTCACCTCACTACGTCATGTCTCCTGTCTGTATCTCTCGTCTCACTACGTCATCTGTCTCCTGTCTGTATCTCTCGTCTCACTACGTCATCTGTCTCCTGTCTGTATCTCTCATCTCACTACGTCATCTGTCTCCTGTCTGTATATCTCGTCTCACTACGTCATTTGTCTCCTGTCTGCATCTCTCACCTCACTACGTCATCTGTCTCCTGTCTGTATCTCTCGTCTCACTACGTCATCTGTCTTCTGTATCTCTCATCTCACTACGTCATCTGTCTCCTGTCTGTATCTCTCACCTCACTACGTCATCTGTCTCCTCTCTGTATCTCTCATCTCACTACGTCATCTGTCTCCTGTCTGTATCTCTCATCTCACTACGTCATCTGTCTCCTGTTTGTATCTCTCCCCTCACTACATCTGTCTCTTGTCTGCGTCTCTTCTGTCATGTCATCTGACACTTTTGATTTTGTAGAAATGACAAGGGTAAGGAACACAAATATACCCAAGGATGTAATTGCACCATCCCGCCCCCCCCCAGTGTAGAAGGGTTCAGGACTGAACTCGTGTCGTGAATGACTAATGCTCGTAATGCTCGTTCAGCAAAGGTCTCTCCCATAACGTCGTAAAAAAAAATCTCTGCGAGTTTAGCGACGCCTCCCACGGCTAACAACAGCGAAACGGGCATCTCTGTTGGGCAACGTGTACACACACACATGTACACAGGTTCACCATGCGTGTACACACACGTGTACACACACATGTGTATACAGGTTCACCATGCGTGTACAACAACAACAACCGCCATTCGCCACTAAGTGGTGGTGACGTCACCACGACGCTTGTGCCAGGCTAGATGCACCTTGAGGCCACGTGAAGTGTCGAACGCCCGCTGGCAGGAGGTCACGGGGCAGACCCAGATACCAGAGGTCGACTGACTGAGATGACTGGCTGATGCACCACCTTTGCCACCTACTGTGCCAACTTGTTGTGCTTTAGTCACCCGGTGCTCCACTCGTTGTTGTGAGGGTCGCTCCTGCCCCCTCCGTTGTTGTTGGAGGGCGACTGCCTCCAAATGCCCAGTCGCATCCTTCATGAGCCTCCTCCAGAGGCCGATCTTGACACCGCTGGTACCAGTCATCGGCAAGTCCACTCAGCTCCACGTCCTCCTGTACCACGTCACTCCATCTCTTCTCTAGCCCGTGTCGTGCCCGCTTAGCCCCCTCGATCCGGCCAAACAAAAGCTGTTCAGGCATGCGGTGGCTGGGCATGTGTTAGCATGGGCATGCGGGCTACATGACCCAGCCATCGCAGCCTTGCCTGCCAGAGGAGCTCACCAATGGGACCTTGCCCAGATCTTTCAAGGATTTGTGAGCTCACACAATCCAGCCTGGTTAAACCCAGGATGGATCGTAGGCAGGCTAGCCTAAATGTTTCTAACTGGTGAAGATGTTCCATTAGGGGGGTCCACGTTTCGCAAGCGTAGAGAAGGGTGTGAATGACCGTGGCCGAGCAGACCTGAAGCTTCGTGCGGAGCAACAGACCAGGTAGCTTCCACACAGCATTACGCAACCGATGGAAAGATAATGCCGCTCGACTGATTCGAAGATTCGGAGTGAGAGCTCTGCTGTAAAACCGGAGCCGGTCATGAGCACACTGCCCAGGTCTGGGAAACTCTCCACTCTTTCCACAACTGCATGCGTTTACACACACGTTCATCATGCGTGTACTCACACGTGTACACGCATGCTGAACTTCCTTTGCACCGTACAAGGACAACAAACTGAACAAAAAATACAACCGTGCATCACAAATACAAAGATCCCCCGTATAGCCTTAACAGACTGTAGGGGCAAGTGCTGTTAGCGAGCACCTATGAAGGCCGGCACGGCACACGAGGGAGGTAGGGTGGCCAGCACCACGCCCGACCGCCTTTGTCTCCCCAATGCCAAAGTTTACACAGCGCACCAGGTGACTCATTTATGGTCGAGTCGATCTCGGGGAAACCCATTCATTCACATACAAGGGCCGACACAGCACTGCCAGTTTACACACATACACAAAATCACACACACACACGTGTACGTACACATACGTATGTTGAACTTCTTTCGCACCGTACGTAGCCAAACGGTACTCATCGGAGATGCCGGGGGAAAGACAACAAACTAAACACAACAACAACAAGTAGCAGTTCTAAAGTAATGTTTCGTCAATCGAGATGATGATGATGATTTCAGAGTGTACGCCTACCCAGTGGCTTCCTCATATCGGAAGGGAAGAGCGTTCCAGACGGACCGTGGAAGCGCGTCTGACAACTCGCGATGCAGGACCACCAGGAACACACAAACACACACATCGCAAGGCACACACAGACACACAAACACACACACACACTCACATTCCGCAGGCAAAGACAAACATACCCCGTATATCCTCAACAGGCTGTGGGGGCAAGTGCTGTTAGCGAGTGGCATCTATCCAGGCCGGAAAGGCACACGAGGGGGTGGGTGGATCAGCAACCACGCCCGGCCGCCTTTGTCTCCCAAGTAGTCAGTGTTTACACACCGCGCAAGACGCTCGTTTGAGGCTGAGTCGACCTAGAGGAATTATTATCGGTCGCGCACCACCGCTCCCTGCACTCACATACCGCAAGGCGCGCACACACACACACAAACATACACACACACACAGACACACACACAGACATACACACACACAGACACACAGGCACACACACACACCCACACAGGCACACACACACACAGACATACACAGACACACACACAGACACACACACACCCACACAGGCACATACACACACACAGACACACACCCACACAGACACACACAGGCACACACACACACCCACACAGGCACACACACACAGACACACACCCACACAGACACACACAGGCACACACACACATCCACACAGGCACACACACATACACACACACAGACACACACACACACACGCAGGCACACACACACGCAGGCACACACACACACAGACATACACACACACAGACATACACACACAGACACACACACAGACATACACACATAAACACACACAGACACACACACACACAGGCACACACCCAGACACACACCCACACAGGCACACACACACAGACATACACACACAGACACACACACAGGCACACACCCACACACAGGCACACACACACAGACACACACACACGCAAACACACACAGGCACACACCCACACACAGGCACACACACACATAGACACACAGACACACACGGGCACACACACATAGACACACAGACACACACAGGCACACAAACAGACACACACCCACACAGGCACACACACACAGACATACACACACAGACACACACAGGCACACACACACCCACACAGGCACACACACACAGACATGCACACACACACAGACACACACGCAAACACACACAGGCACACACCCACATACACACACACAGACACACCCACACAGACACACACAGGCACACACACACACACCCACACAGGCACACACACACAGACATACACACACAGACACACACACAGGCACACACACACGCAGGCACACACCCACACAGACACACACAGGCACACACACACACACCCACACAGGCACATACACACAGACATACACACACACAGACACACACACACACAAACACACACGCAGGCACACACACACACAGACATACACACACACAGACATACACACACAGACACACACACAGACATACACACACAAACACTCACAGACACACACCCACACAGGCACACACACAGACATACACACACACAGACACACACACACGCAAACACACACAGGCACACACCCACACAGACACACACAGGCACACACACACCCACACGCAGTGTTGACGTCAGTAGGTGGGTCCCAACCCATCAGGAGTAGACGTTGAGGTGTCGCCCCAACGTCTCTGACACTCGGCCACAAACTACACAAACTACCACCGCTCGCACGGGCAGCAGGAGGCAGCACGCAGAGCAGAGGTGGGGCGAACGTTTAACACACACACCCTGAACACAACACACACACACTGAACACAACACACACACCCTGAACACCACACACCATGAACACCACACACACACCATGAACACCACACACACACACACTGAACACCCTACACACACACCCTGAACACCACACACACACCATGAACACAACACACACACACCATGAACACAGCACACACACCCTGAACACCACACACACCATGAACACCACGCACACACCATGAACACCACACACACATAAACACACTGAACACCACACACACACCCTGAACACCACACACACACACCATGAACACCACGCACACACCATGAACACCACACACACACAAACACACTGAACACCACACACACACCCTGAACACCACACACACACACTGAACACCACGCACACACCATGAACACCACACACACACACTGAACACCACACACACACACTGAACACCACACACACTGAACACCACACACACTGAACACCACACACACTGAACACCATACACACACTGAACACCACATACACACACTGCACACCACACACACTGCACACCACACACACTGAACACAACACACACACTGAACACAACACACACACTGAACACAACACACACTGAACACCACACACACACCATGAACACCACACACACTGAACACCACACACCATGAACACCACACACACACCATGAACACCACACACACACCATGAACACCACACACACACACTGAACACCACACACACACACTGAACACCACACACACACCATGAACACCACACACACTGAACACCACCCACACACACTGAACACCACACACACACTGAACACCACACACACACTGAACACCACACACACACCATGAACACACACACACACTGAACACCACACACACACACACACTGAACACCACACACACTGAACACCACACACACACACTGAACACCACACACACACACTGAACACCACACACACACTGAACACCACACACACACACTGAACACCACACACACACCATGAACACACACACACTGAACACCACACACACACACTGAACACCACACACACTGAACACCACACACACACACTGAACACCACACACACTGAACACCACACACACACACTGAACACCACACACACTGAACACCACACACACTGAACACCGCACACACACACTGAACACCACACACACACCATGAACACCACACACACACACTGAACACCACACACACTGAACACCACACACACACACTGAACACCACACACACTGAACACCACACACACACCATGAACACCACACACACACCATGAACACCACACACACTGAACACCACACACACACACTGAACACCACACACTGAACACCACACACACTGAACACCACACACACACCATGAACACACCACACACACTGAACACCACACACACACCATGAACACACCACACACACTGCACATCACACACACTGCACACCACACACACACACTGAACACCACACACACTGAACATCACACACACTGCACACCACACACACACACTGAACACCACACACACTGAACATCACACACACTGAACACCACACACACCATGAACACCACACACACCATGAACACCACACTAACACTGAACATCACACACACTGAACACCACACACACCATGAACACCACACTAACACTGAACACCACACACACTGCACTCCACATACACACACTGAACACCTCACACACTGAACACCACACTAACACTGAACACCATACAGACTTCACCACACACACTGCACACCACACACACACACACTGCACACCACACACACACACACTGAACACCACACACACACACTGCACACCACACACACACACTGCACACACACACTCGAGTCGCAGTGTAACAATAAGTGTGTCTGACCGTCTCCAACACAATACAGCAGCGTGTCCACACCCGACACTCCACCTCGTTAGCTCTGCATCGGTACAGCCGCACGCCTGTGTGTACTCTGTACAGTATTCTGTACAGTGGGTATTCTGTACAGTGCGTATTCTGTAGTGTGTATTATGTACAGTGCGTATTTATGTACAGTGCGTATTATGTACATAGCGTATTGTGTACAGTGCGCGATGTGCGGTGCGTATTTTGTACAGTGTGTATTGTGTACAGTGTGTGTTGTGTACAGTGTGTATTATGTACAGAGCGTATTGTGTAGTGTGTGGTGTATAGTGCGTATTATGTACAGAGCGTATTGTGTACAGTATGTTGTGTACAGTGTGTATTGTGTACGGTGTGTTGTGTACAGTGTGTGCAGTGTGTATTGTGTACAGTGCGTGTTGTTTACAGTGTATTGTGTGTATTGTGTACAGTGTGTATTGTGTACAGTGTGTATTGTGTACAGTGTGTGTAGTGAGTTGGAGTGTGTTCCTCAATGCGGGTTGTTATTGTGATCAGCCCCCAGCGATGTAGCCTGTGCGTGACCAGCCTGCTGCATGCAATAACTGGGCCATACTCAACATCATCAACGACATCATCGTGAAGACGATGTTGTTGATGTCGAAGATGTCGATGATGATGATGTTGTTGTTTGTGTGCCTGCGGAATTGTGAGCGTGTGGGGAGTGTCGGGCCGCACCCCGAGTTGGGATTCCCACGCCCGTCGCTCGCGGCAGCCGACGGCGGTGAGGGTCCTGGACCTCCCCTAGGTCGACTCAGCCTCAAATGAGTACCTGGTGTGGTGTGTAGTGATCATCGCCGCTGGGGAGACAAAGGCGGCCGGGCGTGGTTGCTGGCCACCCCATCTCCTTCGTAGGTGCTGCTCGCTAACAGCACTTGCCCTAGCAGTCTGTGAAGGCTACCCGGGTGGGGTCTTTGTGGTGTATATATTGTTATTGTTGTTATTATTAATAATTATAAGTTATCGATTTGCGTGTGCGGTGGCCAAACTCGACATTGACATCGTCGTCGGTATCGCGACGCCGCCCATCGGCACGGGTGGCCACGTACGGTGCGAAAGAAGTCCGACACGTCTACAGACCCGGGGGTACGTGCGACGTTGGGCCAACGTTGGGACGTCGAGTCATAGTTGGCCCAGCAAAGTTTCCGCACCACATGCCAACGTTGTCGCAACGTCGGCTCAACGTTTGTCTCAACGTCGGCTCAACGTTTGTCTCAACGTCGGCTCAACGTTGCCTCAACGTCGGCTGAATGTGGCTCAACGTTGCCTCAACATTGTTTAAACGTCGGCTCAACGTTGCCTCAACGTCGGCAGAACGTGGCTCAACGTCGGCTGAACGTTGCCTCAACGTCTGCCCAACCAACGTTGCCTCAACGTCTGCCCAACGATGCCTCAACGTCGGCCCAACGTTGCCTCAACCTCGGCCGAACGTTGCCTCAACGTCGGCCAAACGTTGGCATGTGGTAAATAAATGTTTAAACGTTGACGTGCGTGCGGTGTGGTTGGCATTGCTTTACGTGGAGTAGTGTATCAGGTGTTGTGGTTGCTTTGTTACTGTACGTTGAACTTCTTTCGCGCCGTACGTAGCCAAGCGTGCCGTGCCAATCGGAGGTGCTAATCATTGTGGGGGGGGAGGGGGGAGTTGTCCCAACTTTTCCTACACAGTTATTTAAACAATATGAATAATAATAACAATATGAACAATAATAATAACGATGATGATGAGGCAACGGTTGTGACGAGTCGTGCACGGGTACAGTGCGAGTGGGATGTTCCCACTTCCCGGCCTCTCCCATGCGCTCCAAGTTTTCTGCGTTTTTTTTATTTTTGTGTTTTTTTATATTTTTTAGTTTTGTGTGTTTTTTTAAATGTGTTTTTGTACTTTGAGTTTTGTGTTTTTTTGCGTTTTGTGTTTTTTGCGTTTCGTGTATTTTAGTTTTTTTTAGTTTTGTGGTTTTTTTGTTTCTTGAGTTTTGTGTATTTTTAGTTTTGTGTATTTTTGTGTTATTGAGTTTGGTGTTCTTGGAGTTTTTATGGCTTTTTATTTTGTATTTGTTTTGTGTTTTTTTCTTTCATTTCTGCCGTTCGTGTTGGGCAAACAACTCGAATAGGTTGTCAATAACGCCATGCCGTTGTGTGGGTGGGTGAGTGAGTAGGTGAGTGAGTGGATGGGTGGGTGAGTGAGTGGATGGGTGGGTGAGTGAGTGGATGGGTGGGTGAGTGAGTGAGTGGATGGGTGGGTGAGTGAGTGGGTGAGTGAGTGAGTGGATGGGTGGGTGAGTGAGTGGATGGGTGGGTGAATGAGTGGGTAGGTGAGTGAGTGGATGGGTGGGTGAGTGAGTGGGTGATTAGGTGAGTGAGTGGATGGGTGGGTGAGTGGGTGAGTACGTGAGTGAGTGGATGGGTGGGTGGGTGAGTAGGTGAGGTGAATGAGTGGATGGGTGGGTGAGTGAGTGAGTGGGTGAGTGAGTGGGTGGGTGAGTGAGTGGATGGGTGGGTGAATGAGTGGGTAGGTGAGTGAGTGAGTGGATTGGTGGGTGAGTGAGTGGGTGAGTAGGTGAGTGAGTGGATGGGTGGGTGAGTACGTGAGTGAGTGGATGGGTGGGTGGGTGAGTGAGTGGATGGGTGGGGGAATGAGTGGGTAGGTGAGTGAGTGAGTGGATGGGTGGGTGAGTGAGTGGGTGAGTAGGTGAGTGAGTGGATGGGTGGGTGAATGAGTGGGTAGGTGAGTGAGTGAGTGGATGGGTGGGTGAGTGAGTGGGTGAGTGGGTGAGTGAGTGGATGGGTGGGTGAGTAGGTTAGTACGTGAGTGAGTGGATGGGTGGGTGGGTGAGTAAGTGAGTGGGTGGATGGGTGAGTGAGTGAGTAGGTGAGTGGGTGAGTGAGTGGGTGAGTGAGTGGAAGGGTGAGTGGGTGGATGGGTGAAGTAGGTGGGTGAGTGGATGGGTGGGTGAGTGAGTGGGTGAGTCGGTGAGTGAGTGGATGTTTGGGTGAATGAGTGGAAGGGTGAGTGAGTGGAAGGGTGAGTGGGTGGATGGCTGGAG